AAAAATGTTTTCACAGAAGATGTCATTGTGAACCTGAGAGGTTGCCTCTCCATTTATAGGCTATATAAAAATATACAATTAAAATTGTTTACATCATGTTTTTTTCTTAAATCATTCGGGCTATTTGCAGCCTATTGTAGGGTAACCAATAAGAAATTATTATTTAACGACTAAGTAATGCTTCTGTCATAATGCTTGTATTCTTTATGTTTCTTTTAATTGCAATGTGATACTTAGACTAGAATACTTTTTTGGGTTAGGTCAGCAATGTCTCATTATTAAAGGCTAAACAAACTTACAGTGCCTCCCATAGGATCTCTATGGTGCCTCATCTCCACAGAGCTGTAAGCTACTTCAGGCCACTCACGTTGCACTGAGCGCGCCTAATTTTGAATGTGCATCTGAAGCTCGTCTCTGATTGGATAATGACGTGAGGGCGGGAGGAGAAGAGCGCCTAGTTCACGAACTTAGCTAACGAGCCAGCACTAGATAAGAAAACGTCGAACTTTCAGCAACTACGTTGTTAGGACAAATTACAAACATACGATTTCAAGTGTTTTTTGAGGATCTGTGTTTGTTCGTCAGAAAGTCTGCACGGTAAGTTCAATATCTTGGCGACGTTTTTTCGAGATAAAAGCACCAGTTGATATTTAGACCAATGCTCATAACCTAGCGCTAGCATGCTAGTTCAGCTGAAAAGCACAGGCAAACTTTTGAAATACTAAAAATGATCATCTGCGTCTTTTGTAAAAAGGTATTGGTCACATTAAGAGGCTATGTACTACATTGCAGAGTGCATAAGAATGAGCCTTGTTGTATTTTTAAATGTGTTGGCGCCAATTGCAGCCAAACATTCACCACGTACTCTGCTTTCAAGGGGCATTTTTATCGTGTGCACAATGCACCTGCACTTCAAGCTACTCCTAAAGCTCTTGTTGCAGATTTAAAATGTGCGGTTTCATTATGTGCCCGCCATTTTCAAACAGTGAAAGAGCTAGTGTCTCACTTAAACGATCATATTGCAGAGGGCAGGTCTGTGTCATGTCCAGTAAGTGGTTGTAAGCATATGTTTACAAAAAAGTCATCATTTACTTCTCACATGTGTAGGAAGCATAAAGCTTGTTCTCCAGATGGTATTGATGACATGTACAAGGAATCTCGTCCTCAGCCCCCAAATGACAGTACAGAATATTCAGAAAACACACATGAAACCATGGCATCTGCTAGTTCAGCCAGTGATATGCCAGAGAAGGATAGTCATTCTTATCTCAGAAACATGTGTCTCTTTTACCTTAAACTGCAAGGACAGCTGCTAATTCCTGCCTCTACTATACAGAGTATTGCTGAGGAAATGCAGAATGTGCACGAATTGGGTCAAGCCTACACAATTAATAAGGTAAGTTGTTTACTAAAAAATGAAATGAACCTATCAGATGAAGCAGTCACTAAAATCTGTGACTGCATTAAAGAGTCAGATTTGTTCTCTGCTTGCCATCAGGGACAACTAGGAACAACACACACCAGAAATCAAACATTCAAAAAAATGTTTAAATACACAGAACCCAAGAAAGTGCCATTGGGAATGGATGAAAACATGACAGAAAAATGTGCTTACTACATACCAGTTGGAGAAACCCTGAAGAGCTTTTTAGAGTCACAGTTATGGAGGAATACACAGTCACAACAGTTTGGGGGTCCTGATGTAGAAATTTTTAAGGATTTATATGATGGCAAAATTTTCAAATGTCACCAGTTCTTTAATGAAAACCCTGAAAGCCTCAAACTGATTTTGTACCAAGATTCATTTGAGGTAGTGAATCCCCTGGGTTCTGCTAAAAAGACGCACAAACTTCTTGCAGTCTATCTGTCATTAGCAAATTTACCCATTCATTTGTGTTCAAATACAGATAACATGTTTTTAGTCTTGTTGTGTGTTGAGAATGACTTCAAGCGTTTTGGAATAGCCAAAGTTTTCTCAGAGTTGTTGGCAGATCTGAAATCTTTGGAGACAGATGGAATAGATGTAGATGGAGAAACTGTAAAAGGGGGTCTTTACTGTATTGCTGGGGACAACTTGGGTTCTCATTGCATAGGAGGGTTTACAGAAAACTTCAGCTGCTCTCAATATTTTTGCAGGTACTGTGAAGTAACACGAAGTGAGTTTTATGCTGATCCGAATGCCTGTGGTCCTCCACGCACTCCAGAGACATATGACGCGGCTGTTGCTGATCTCCAGTCTGAAACTATCCAAGACGTCAGAGGAATAAAGGTAAACTCCATCTTCAATACCCTTCAGTCTTTTCACGTATCCCAGCCTGGTCTCCCACCTTGTCTAGGTCATGACCTCTTTGAAGGAGTTGTGTCATATGATCTAGCACTGTACCTGAAGAACATTATAAAAAATAAAAAATGGTTCACATACTCCCTTTTAAACAGACGCATTAAACACTTTAAATATAAAGGATCCGAAGCACTTACAAAGCCATGTACTGTCAAACCTGACGGATCCAAATTATCAGGGCAAGCCGTTCAAAACTGGAACCTTTTGAGATTGCTGCCAGTTTTGATTGGTGACAAAGTACAAAACCATGAGGATGAAGTATGGCAGTTAGCTCTCCAGTTGAAAGACATTGTGGATCTTATTTGTGCTCAGAGCATTTCCTTGTCCCAGATAGCATTCGCTGACATTTTGATCCAAGAATATTTGGAGATGAGAGAGATGTTGTTTCCTGGAATTAAACTAAAACCCAAGCACCACTATTTGCGCCATTATTCAGCACTGTTGTTGAAATTTGGTCCATTGATGAGGTTATGGACGCTTAGGTTTGAATGTAAACACAGTTACTTCAAAAGATGTGCCAGACACTTGAAAAGCTTCAAAAATATTTGTCAAACTTTGTCAACACGTCATCAGATGTATCAGGCTTATCTTTTAGCAGGGCAAGAATGCCGTGAACTGCTGCAAGTCAAGGAGAGCTGTGCGTTTTATCCCAACCTCTACAGTGACACTATTCAGCATGCGGTCAGGGAGTTAGCTTTTTCAGAAAGCAATACCACAGTTACCACAGACATTCAGTACAAGGGCACTGCATATAAAAAGGGACAGTTTCTTGTGTACAGAAATGACGAGTGTATGGAGTTTGGTGAACTTCTACTCATCTTGATTCAAAATGACACATCTGTGTATGTTCTAATGGATATCCACAAAGGCATCTTCCTCTCAGAATACCATCTGTATTCTGTGACAAAGGACAGTCTTGGGTTACAGTGTATCAACATTAATGACCTGCCTGATTTCTATCCTTTGGTATCATACATTCTTCAAGAATACAGAGTCATTCCACTAAAGCATAGTATTGTGGCAAAATAATGTCCAACTAATAGCTCACTTCTCACTGTAAATAGTTTAACATTAATATAAGTGTCACGTAATCCACACCCTGCTCCATCAAGTGTATGAACTGTATGTGATTTTCTATTTTGTTTGGATGTGGCATTTCTTCTTCAGTGCAAGTATGAGTGACTCAGAGCGAACCTTCCTAGATGTCGCCATCACGGAAGTCCTACCAGAACTTCAAGCTGTGAACAAAAACATCCTGGAGGAGCACTTGCAGTCCATTGGAGTTGAGACAAGTGATGATCTACGCTTCGTAACGGAGGCAGATTTGATGACAGCATTAAGACCTGTACAAGCAAGAAAGCTTCTTTCTGCTTGGAAACAGAAATGTAAGTAAAAACAACAAACAACTATTCAAACTCAAAAGCAGAGATGGTCATGAACAGACATACAGTGTGAATCATAATTGTATTTGTTTTGTAATTTAAAGACCAAACTCCAGAGAACAGCTCGCTATCATCTGTGGAAGCCTCATCAACCCAGTCGCTGTCATTGCTCTCACTTTCACCCCAAAGTCTATCGTCGACCTCTTCCAGCAGCCCAGGATGTGACATACAATGGGATGACAACTTTGAAATTCCATGGAGTAAACTTCCTGCAGAAGTGATGCATTTTCTTGAGAGGGGGAAAAGGCCTCGCCCAAAACTGAGGAGGCAAATGGTCCGGATTGTTGTGACTGAGATGATGGAAAAATGCCCTCATGTAGGTAGAAAACATTCAATTGACGTTGCAAGAAAAATGGTGGCAAAATATCCCAATTCTCTGCAAGATTTAATAGAGGGTGAGATTGTTGGCGCAGGCTACCTTTCACTTGTCAAACAGTTGCAGAACAGAATTGAAAATGTAAGGCGCACTTCAACACCCAAAATAAGAAAAAGAAAACATCAGACTGACTCAGACCACACAGACGAGATCCCTTTAGAAGAAAGAGCAGCCATGCAGGATACATACGGGTGCATTAAATGGAATGTAGAATTTCTGCCTCTTGAAGAAACTCCAGAGAGCCAACAGCAAAAGATGGAAAAACTCAAGGTGATGTTCCAGCAAGCTGACACCAATCCAGAAGAGGTAAAAAGTCTAATGAAGTCCACTTACTACACACAACGTCTGCATGTCAATCAGGGGAAAAGTATCAAATGCCTTAGGGAGGAGTGGCCGTTTTGGTTTGATGAACTTGGCATGTCTGTCCACTTCAAGGAACTTACTGGGATTGACCTCAAAGAGACATTCACACGTAATTTGGATTTGAAGGGGAAAAGGCTACTGGACTACTTGACCACAGTTGCTGTCAGCAAAAGCAAGGTGTTCCTTCAGACTTATGCAAGGCTTCAGAGGATGCGGGGACCGCAGAGTGGCTGCTCAGATGATGTGAAAGAGATGGTCCTGCTTCTGCTCAGCTACTTTGAAGAGAAGGAGGAGTCCATGCTTCTCTGTGTTGAAGATACATGTCTGGCAGATGAGGTACAACTGGAGCAAGTGCCTCTGACACCCACTATTATCGTGTGTGGTAAGTCTGTTTCATAGCTCTCTCTCTTTTTTTTTTTAAGTGCACTTTTTATAGAATGTCATGTGACTGCCGTGTTTATTGATATAACCTGTTAAATAATTTGTTCACAGGACAGTCCTGCTATTCCTCAAGAAGATACATGCTGAGTGTTGATCGGCACCTCGTCAGCACAAACATATCCTCCTTCATTTCTGCACTGTGCCTCATGTTCGGGAGCTACTACAATTTCAACATCCATTATCCATCTGAGCTGGCTTCCACTTTAGAGTTTCTTCAGAGGTGAACAAATATGGCTTTGTTATTTCTCATAACTGAGACTCTGGGATCTGGAGTCTGGCTTTGATGTGGTTCGAGTCCAGGTCTGGCTCTGAGTCTCGGTCGGCTTTGGAGCCGGTTTCAGTTGTTTTTTTTCTGTTTTTTGTTGTTGTTTTTTTTTTGTTTGTTTGTTTGTTTTAAATACATTAACAGTCTGAATCCGGGTCCAAGCCTGGCCGAGACTCAGGGCTAGACCAAGCGTCAACTGACGTCTGACTACCTATAACCTTTGCTTTGGATTTTAACAATGCTAAAGTGTGACATATCACTGCAGAAGACACTCGTGAAGGGTGCCAATACTTTTGACCATGCATTGTTCACTTCCCCACAGCATTTTGGTTATACTTTGTCTTGAACGTGGTCATGGCCATGACTGTGTATATATATGTATATACTTAATTTTTACTTACTTTGTACGTGTATTTTAACTGATCAATTATAAAAATGCTTAATAAACTTTTATATGATTGTTATTCTACAGGTGTTTCTTCTCCATAAACCCAGAAAAAGGAACCAAAGTAGAGAACAAAAACTCAAAGCGTCGTCTCAGTGTGAACCCTCGAGTCCTCACCCTGATTCAGGATCTCGCCGACCACGAGTGGCGCTAAGCCTAAATCTTGACTCTCTGTGGACTGTTAGTTTTACTTTGTTAATTTTGTTCCACAATGTGTACTGGAACCTTTTACTGGTCGAATGCATGAAGCCAATTCATGAAGATGTTCTTTCTTTGTAGGAATGTTCTTTATTTACATAAGAAAAGAAAAAAAACAACATGCTGCTACTGCAGTGTTTCTAGACCACATGTGTAGGTTTGTTTCACCACGTGGTTTTGCTGATGTTTTCTGACCAGGGCCATGGTTGTGGTGACAGCAGGGTGCGTGTTGCGTTGCACGGTGATTATGATCATTTTTGACACAATATGTGTTTTTTGTTTTAAAGTCTTAACAGGTTAGTTAACTTTTTCTGGTGGAGGGTCTAACAAATGCTTGTTTCATGAACATGGTTCTTGCTTTGCAGGAATGTTCCACAGCTTTTATAGCCTATATTTTGATTGAATTGTGTAGTTGCTGTGTGCCTTGCATATTGTGTTAGTTGGAAAAATGGATCCATTTGCTGTCATTTTGCTAATGTGGCTGCAAAATAAATTTCCCAAAAGTGATATTTTCCTCTCTTGTGTTTTCTCAAGATGTATTTTTGCATGTTTGGGTGTAGGCGTAGCAGTAAGAAATTTGCTGGGTTATGGTTAAAATTTTACATTAAAACATATAATATTCAGCATAGATTTTATGTATAATTTACAGAGCAGCTCCATTTAATATGCACAGTTTCACTGTAGTTCTACCATTTTAAATTAGTTCTTTGTACGATATTTCCCTGTTAATTTTGCAGTTTATGGATCCACAAAAAGCATTTATTACTTGTGATATATAAATACACTATTTCCTGTATCTTTTACATCTATGTGTGAAATTAACTTCTTTTTCCTGTAGATTTAACAGTTTTAATCTGAGATTCATTCACTGTAAATCAATTTACAAGTTGCATCTGTAAAGCGTTTTTACAGGAAGTCCCTGGTAACCCCAGCTGCCAGGGTTTTCCTGTAAAAACAGCACGTTTTTTTTTACAGTGCAGGAAAGGATGCACCTGACACTCAACCACATATCATCGAGAGACAAACAGCTGTCTTGTTATTTAGCGTTCTGTCATCGCTGCAGATTGTGCAACAAACAAAAAGAGACGACGACCCGTCTCAAAAGCACATACCACAGAATGTCACCGCACGGTGCAGGTGCAATTGTGAAATTAGATAGAAGAGTCGCAGAAGACTCACAGCTGTTGGTTTATGACTTACTGTCATAACCATAACTGTCATTCAGCACAACTCATTTCTGTTTATGGGCTCTTCACCCTGTCAAAGACTCTGTGCTGTATACTGTTTTTTGATGCATTTCTTTATTTCCTGGCTCTCTCTCAGTGAGTCAAGATCCCTTTTTTATCCCATCTGAACTGGAAATAAATGAACAGGCAAACAGAAATGCACAGTTCATGGATGGTTGGATGGATACATCAGTAAACATATGCATGGATGAACATCTTGATCTTGTCATTCTTAACAAACTTGAACTTTCTTTCTTTTTTCCTTTCTTCACCTCTATCTCCATATTACTTTAACACTTTTAAAATCAATCAAACCAAAAAGTTCAAAAAAAAAAAAAAAAGGACATGACATGAATGCAAATTTCAGTGTTATTTTTTGCTCTTATTTACGCCACTCTGGAGCTGCTGCTGCCACAGGAATGACAACCCTTGTTGGGATTCTGTCGCATCAAGCCGGCACATTTGAATGCTAAACCCATTAGCCAAGCATCACTCACAGTCAGAGCTGGCGATGATAAATAACCCAACCAGAGAAATCTGATTAGGAGAGACGAAGGCATGGGGATCTGAGGGAATGAGTAACAGCAATGTCGCTGTTATCGGGCCTCAGTCAGATTGGAAATCACACACCGAGAAAACATGAAATGCTCGTCTGCAGTGGGTCGTGTCGGCTGTTTTTCTAAACCACGGATTGGGACCCAAAATTGGGTATTTGGTGGGCTGCAATTAAATGAAAGCTGAACTTTGTGTGCATGCTTTTAAGCTCTTACACAGCAAAGTCAGCACAACAAACAGGCTTGTAAATATATATATATATACAGTGTACATAAACCAAGAATCGAGCTGTGGTTGACTGCATTCGCATTCACCTAGCAGTCAACCACACAGAGATAAACACTCAGGTATGCTTCTCTGTTTGTGAAGCAATGCCTCCGTTTATTATTTTTTATCTTGTTGTGGGCTATAATTAATAATACTAGACAGTGGTGGTCTGTTATCTAAAACAAAATGAAAAACGGTTTGTTGAGGTCTGAGACAAAAAAATTAAGAGCACAAGGACGTATTAAACAGAGAGTTCAAGACAAATTTCATACGCAATTCTGGGATGGCAGATAACGATCTAATATTTCAAAAACACAGAAAGCATTCACTGCACATTTAAAGATTTCCATGAGCTGAACCTGACCTTGGAAGATTATTTGGTGCCAATGGGGATGTGTTAATATATGAAGCACCAAGCTGCTGTTTTAGCTAACATTTACATGCTGATACATTGTTGTCATCAACTTTGCTATTTGTGTACTAGAGTTGTGCATTACTGAGTTTACAAAAATCTGCATGGGGTATTATGCTTTCAGAGGTGTTGATCAAAATATCTCTTTACCTCAGTGGCCCTGTTGAAATAATCCTCACTGACCCATGTGAATGCCACTTTGTCAAGTCTCAATAATCTATCGTTAATTCCCCGTGCCAAGCTGTCAATGTCAACAAACATTTAGCTGTCATTACTGGTAGTATTTAGGTTTAAATGTTTGAAAGTTTTGCTCTGAACTAGACAACGTGTCCATGTTTGTAATGTTGGTGCATGTCTAACACAGGTATTGGATGAATAATACAACAAGTTATTTTGTTAATGCACTGACAGACTGCCCAATAAGTGTACTGCAGCTTTTTTTTTTACGTCTTGTTTGCTTGTATGCACTAATTAGCACATCTATGCATCTTTGCAATTTAACCATACAGTACATTTACACACCTTGCTAACCAGGCTTGTTAGCGTTACTGAGTGATTGTACTCTGTTGCAGACATGAACAGCTGGAGACACCTCTGCTAAGTATTCATTCCTGTTTGACTTCTCTTGAGGTCTGCCTGAAGGGCAGATAGTTGATGCATAATAATGTGCCGTCTCAGAGGACGAGTCTGCACAGTCAAAACATCAACACGGACATTCAGTCAGAGCCTTGCGCTCACCATCCGATGACAAAATGTACATCACTCTAAGTCAAAGAAAAAGACTTGTGTCAGCACGCCATCCTCTCACTCAAACATGGTCACTTCTGGCTCAAAAAACTATAAATATAGACTATTTGCCAAGAGTACACGATAATGTAGACATAAGTGCACGATCACTATAAACACTAACACTAAATGAAAATTATCCACGGTTCATGGTTCAGGACAGTAAGCTTTGGTTTTATTAACAATGTCCATCACTCAGACATCCATGTTTCAGGAAGCAGGTGGTAATGCACCAAGCAGGACTACTCAGTAGGCAGGTTAGCAGGGACTTCTCCAAACATTTGAGCATTCTTAGCTATAATCAATACTTTTAGTGGATTCACGCATGACACCCTGATCTGTTTGACTGCCAAGCATACCCACTCTCTGATTCTGCAGATGCACACATGCCTGGACTTCCTTTCCCAATGATTTGGATCCAGAGTGAAAAAAAACATGGAGCTCATTAAAGAGGGTTCACTTACAGTGCAGAAGCTAAAAATAAATCATCAAAACTGCTTGATCCAGTAGTTTAACACAGAAAAACGGCAAAAATCGAAAGCTAAGTTAAATAACTGAATCACTGTGCTGATACATATTTAGCTGCATTGCTACTACTACTATAACAATTAGAAGCCTACTAGGACATTTTTATGTAATTTGTTTAGTGGTGCACATCGAAAATCTTCATTTTTTTTCTTTTTGGAAGATAAGCATCTCCAAGCACTGCTGCACTAAAAAGGTCAGCGTAGAATTGCACGCAACATTTTAATGAGACAATTGGTTGAAATTCACGAGTCAGATATATACATTTATATTGTAATAATATTCTTTAAGGTCAAGCTGAATTTAATGAAGTAATTGAGTACAAGGCAATTCTGTATAGATAAAAAGGGGTTTTGCGTTCCTATGTTTTAACTGAATTACAAAAATCAAACCATTTGTCCTGGTTAATTATTAAGAGCAAATTCAATTTACCCTCACCACTTCACTGAAAAGCCCATATACCTCCTATGCAGAGCCACTTACAGATTGCTTAAGCATTCCTGCTGACAAACAATTAAACAAGCACTAATGCACGCACACACATTGATTGACCTTTCCTACTGAGTGTTATTAATACACGCAGGTCATATTAGGAAAGGTTAACGAGCAATAAGGCCAGCAGCACTCACGTGGAATATAAACAAGAAGAAGGCATAGGAGCTCATGTGGATTTCAGTACCTGGGCAAGATATTTTCAATAAAGTAATCACAATAAGCAAATAACAAATACACAAAAAGCCATAAACTTGGTGAGAAAAAAAATAAGTGACAACGGCAAGGATTAGAGATGAGTTTCGTGCAACTCCTGAAGTGTACGGGCGTTTGCGACTGATTCACAATCAGTCTAATTTACTTGATATAAAATGGGGCAATTGTAAACATTTAAATAACATAACGACTTTCATCAGTTGTGTTACAGCCCTTCCAAAATGCTGACTTTGTTTGTTACCCAGACAAATTAGTGGGCCGGGCTACAATCAGAGACTTCCTGTCCCATAGTGCCTTTCACTTTTACCTCACAAAGTTGCCGCCTAGAAGATATTTAAAGCCAAGTAGTCAACAACTGAAAATGCATTTTGAAGAAATCATACAGCTTTTAATATGCTTTCTATTAACCAGACAAGTTGTAAAAATGTTGACGATGAATGCGTAACAATGTATTTGATTTACAGCTTTTGCTGCTACAGCATTGTTAGTTTTAATGGTTACGTTTAGGCACTCACAGATCTTGGTTGATGCGAGTAGCGTTCAGGCTTAGTACTGAATCCTGCAGTGACTTGATTGCCAATATTACCAGTAATCACTGATCTTTCACCTGTCATCCACTCCATCCACCTCCAGTTAAATCTGCTGCATTTCAATGGCATTCATTCTTTGCAAAAACCTGGACCAAATCAAGCCAGGTTGTGACAGTTAAATGGTAAAGTTACTTAAGTTAAATGAGTTCCTCTTTAATGCTTACCAGACTGAACAAGCCAAGGCTATAGAGGGGATAGTTAACTATATCCTTAGTCTAAGATTGCTAAATGTTCAAACTTACAAAAATAAAACTGGATGATACTATCATGATCTTGTAAAACGAGCATTCACTCTTTCCTTAACAAGACGACCAGATCAAAAGATCCATGCAAAAGTTGATGGCTACCATATGTATCAATTAGGAAAGTCCCACACAGAGGAAAGGCATGTGGTTGCACAGAAAATATACAACGCAATATGCATCACAAATGATCTGA